AAGAGGAAAGAGAAATAAAGGAAAGAGGAAAGAGAAAGGAAAGAGAAAGGAAGGAGAAAGAGAGGAAAAAGAAAGTTAGAGGAAAGAGAGAGAGAAAGAGGAAAGAGAAAGAGAGAGGAAAGAGAAAGGGGGAGAGGAAAGAGAGAGAGGGGAGAGGAAAGGGAAAGGAAAGAGAGAGAGAGAGAAAGAGGAAAGAGAGGGAGAGGAAAGAGGCATACAATAATTCATTTGCATTTAATTGTAATGGTTCAAAGAATGTTTGGAAAAATGTTCGGCCCTCCAGCACGTTCACTTCATCCAATCTGGCCCTCTTTGAAAAAAGTTTGGACACCCCTGGCTTATACTATATTTTTATCTTATTTTGTTATTTACTGAGCTGTCCAAAGTCATTCTGGAGTTGTGTGGTACCTAAATAACTAAATAATAGTCTGATTTATTAATTATTGCAAGAAAGGTACTACTGGATTCAACATGCATACATGCTCACATATAAAAGACTTAACAATGCGCAGATTCAACTTGGACGATAAATAAATGACATTACTCAATTATAACAAATGCTAAGTTTCATAATATTGTCCTTAGTTTTGTGTCCTGCTAATTGGCAAGTAAATCATGTTTATATTAAGGCAAGTAAAAAAGACAGAATGTATGTTTATTGTGTATATGCACATACTGGGTAATATGTAATTAAAGGTATTAGATAAGGTTAATGGTATTATTATTGCTACCTTGTCTCTTTATATGCATATGAAACAATTTGAATGCCTGAAGGATTTATTTGTAGTCATTAACTACCTGTTCTTTACACTAATGTGTAGTTTTTGAAATATGTAACTTTATTTAATCAATACAGTTCTCAAATTATGTACAGAAAAAAGGGGATTATTTTACTGATGTACTGTTTTACTAATAACTAAGAATGAATTGGCAAATGGATATCATGGCAGGAACTGCCATGACTGCAGGCTACAATGGAAAGTCAAAAATCTCCAGACTTCAGTAGTACTGGCAAGAATGTGTGTAATGTGTTCACGGAATCAGCAGAAGTCATGCTTAGTTCAACAATCATTCATGGTTAATTGTTGGAGCATTTTCATAGTAAATTCACAATATCTACTTTTTTTTATATTGTAAGAATCCCACTAGATATGCTTCAAGTCTATGTTTAGTCTGTATGTACTTCAAGTCTATTTTAACTAAAGCATTTTGTTTCATAATTAGTCATACTTTGGTACAGCATAATAATAAGTACATGTTTAGCAAATAGACAATTCTTGGTAAAATGTATGCTCTATATACAATATCCCAGGTCCAAATATTGTCAGATTGAGAGATAACTAGCATTCTCCAGTGATCCATTGTCAATCGGCACAGACAATATTGAATTAGTTGAGCAAATGGACTAATCAGACAGGTCACTTTATATATTGCTTATTTGTCTGCACCAACTCTACCCATAGTGATTTTTAACACAATACTTTGGTATTGCCATTGAACTGATTACACAGTCTGGCCGACAATCAACTCTGAAGAGAAGACTTGCTTTTGTCCAATAGTGAAAAAGAAGGTTGTACCAAAAAATCAAACCTATTTGCTGGGGGGGGGGGGAATTAGTCAACCCAAGCTGACCTAAAAGTGTTTTATCTACTTGCAATACAAAAACAATTTTATAATCAGCATTTGTCTGCGACTGGAGTGGGTGGGTGAACTTTAATGTAATGAGATTTATTCAAAATAATTAGACTTCATTTCCAAGATGCTTTATAATCTGTCTGAGTTAAAGTAGGAAATAGGTATTCTGGCAATCCTCAAGTTAATATAAAAATAAATTTTAATCCTTTTACTCCATGGTGGAATGATACCATCAAAGCACTAGGAAAGTTCATTTAAGTGGAATAAGTCTGGAATAATGATGTTTCAAAGCAAAGATAACAGAAATAGAGAAGTATATACATATACATGTATGTGTGTGTTTGTATATGTATATACATACATACATATAATTCATTCATCAGATACAACTTAAGAAAGTTCCACTTAGTATCCACTGAAACTAGTGAGTTTCATGTATAATTAATTCCGCTGATATGTATAGGTCCTAAAACAACTCTGTCTTAATACAAAATACATCTTTTATCCTATTTCTTGATCATTGTCTCTTCTGATTTTACAGTAAATAAAGACCAACTGTCAAGTTCATGCCTGAATTTTAGATACAAAGCGAACATATTATTTTTAAATAATTCCATTTCCTTATGTTCTCCTGAAATAATTGTTTTGTGTATTCTCTTTCTTTTTAAGTTCCATATTCCATTTAGTTACCTTTACACTACTTACCTGTTTTACATAAGTTCTGTTTTGGTTTTAAAAAATATCAAATGAAATTACATACATAAATGCCAATATTTATGGATGTAAAAAATGTGGGAAGGAAAAATCATGTTTGAAGTAAACATTTTCAATAGGTGGAAATTCTTTAGTGGGGTCTTTAAAAATACATTTATAAATATATTCAACTTTCTATGTGATATTTCCCTTCTATTTGTGAATGGCAAGCAAAAAATGTAACAATAATACTATACTACAATAGCATTAGCATTAAGCAAATGGAGCACTGCATTTAAAAAAGCAAAGTGAATTTAAATATGATAGTAACTAATTTGCTTCCTCTAAAGCTTTTTTGGCCCTTTCTTTCCCTTTCCCTTTCCTTTAATATATTAAAAAATGTCTGTCTTCTGCGCCATGTAGATCTATATTAACACTAAATTAATATTGCCTTGCAGTGAGATGGGTGGCAAACAAATTTGATAAATAAATTAATTAATGGAAGATGAATGTAGCTGTTATTTAATGTATCCTTAAGGCTGTAATTATGATTACATTGATATCCTTCAAGATACTGGAAGAGGTAAACAGACATATATTAATAAGATATCATTCCTTAGTTTTTTTTATACCTATCCTTTCAACATAAATAACCATATTCCTCTGCTATTTCTCCTAGAAACAGCTTTTGTATGCACAGGTCACTTCTGAAGTATCTTAAAAGATTTCACAAAATCGTTTAATTTCTATATCTAGCATTTAGCTCATAAGACAAAAATTAGCACAACTGACAATGAAAAAGCAAATGTTTTCTTGAAAAACACTGCCATCAGGTTAGAGAATTAGTTTTTACTGAAAAGATGAATAATTAGAAAAGTTGTGTTTTGTCTTAGAAGAGAAATAAAAACTAATTCAACAGAATTAGCTATTCTAAGCAAGTTAACACTAAAATAACTATTCATAGGAGCAAGGATTGACTATATTTATTTTTCTGCTCATGTTCTAAAGTACTTAGATGTAAGACACTGATTTTAGTCTTCTGAACTAAAATTATTATTAGTTCTGCTACTGTAGTTCATCCCGCATGGGAAATCTGATGCAGAATTTGTACCATTAGTAGAAATAACAACGGAATGTTTGAACAGGCAAGTTACATTCTCTCTGTGGAACATCATACGTGTTATTACATTGTGAGTTGAAATCATTGTGATAATTTGTTACAAATGAATGGTCTGCTAGAATGAAGTGTCATAGGTGCCTTCCCCAATGTTATCTGAGTTTATTTGAATGTCTAAACCATATGTTTTTCACAAGAGAGCACTAGAAATAAAAATGCATGTGTTATGTGATTCATCACTACTCTTTCATGAATACTTTTCTGTTCATCCTGTCAAAAAATGGAAATGTACAAATTAAATGGATTTGGGCTGTTGGTTTGATCTCCGAACTTGGCGATTTGGCTGAAAACGTTTCATCTCCATTCGGGAGGAGGAGGACATCTTCAATGCGCTTTGAATTGTGCTTATCTGTCAGAGAACTGGCCTTTAAATATCTTTTTGTGTGATGTAAGTTGATGTGGGTATTATTTGTCCAGATGTTTCTGAGTCATGGTCTGGTTTCGGGCTGTTTGATTTGGTGGTTGTTGCTGGGCCATAGTCTTTGGTGTTTAAGATGATACTCAGAAACATCTGGACAAATAATACCCACACCAATTTACATCACACAAAAAGATACTTAAACCCCAGTGCTCTGCCAGATGAGCACAATTCAAAGCACACTGAAAATGTCCCCCCAAATGGAGATGAAATGTTTGCAGCCAAATCGCCAAGCTCAGAGATCAAAGCAATAGCCCAACTATCAACGCCAGCTACTAATATTCAAAAACATTTCATAAATGGATTTTTATAGCACTATAATTTGATATGCCCTGCTAATGTCATTCTGCTAACACTCTTACACTCACTCTCTCTTCTTTTGTTCAGATTCACTGCAATTCCAAAAAATATCTATTGCAGGCTTTATGAATATGAAACTAAAAGTCAAAGGGAATGAGAATTGGTGACATAGCAATGAGCATAAACTTATTTTCCTATATAGACATTGCTACAGTGAAATATTCTTGCCAGTGGATTTTTTTTTAATCAAATGATTTTTATATAGAACAAAAATACCTTTTTGTTCTACATAGTAATGTAGATATGTAAATATAATTGTTGTACAATTATATGTTTTCCCCAATTCAATTTCTCTCACAGTTTTACTATTCTACATACAGCATTTATTCTGTTTCTTTTTCCATCCACTGCTTGGCTTTAAGAAAAAAAAACCTCATGTTAGTTGCAACTTACTTATGGTATTGATTTTGAACTGGATAAAATGCACAAGTAGCTCTGTGTCCTTGCTTCTAAATAAATATATAAGTAGCTTATATTCATATGATCTCTTCTAAAATAAAATAATTCCAATATATGCTAATTCACAAACTTTGTTCTGATCAGCTCTTTTTTAAACAAATTTCCGGTATTGCTTGTCTCTCATGCATGGGCTGCAAGTTCTTAGTGCTTAAATATGGAAAGTAAATATGCATTCCAGAGACAGAGGAGGTGGGGGAGATGGAACTGTTAGTATTAACTCAAGAATTAAAACCAATTCATTTTCTTTCTGTTTTTCAGTCAGTTTGCTCTCAAGAAAATCTTTTTATGGATAACCGGTAAATATATACATATTTTATATTAAATTTAGCAGCTATATTTATCTCTAATTTTTAACAGTAGAAAAATATATTTTACAGAGTATATAAGCAACACTTAAGCATTTTACTGGGAAATCTAAATGATATCTTATGATTTTTTTAATTACAATGGCTGACTATTAATGTGAATGCAGAGAAATACCATTAAAATGAATAGGAGTTCACAAATTTCCATAATTCTAATCAACAAGAGTTTCTAATAAAAAATAGCTTATTTAAAAGTAAGAAAATAATAAAAGGTGGCTATGGTATCAAAAGTATCAACGTATGTATCCATTGTTAATATTTTAAAAAATATTTTGTTTTCATTTTCATTCAACAAAATGAAATTTAGTGTAGAGAAAAGTAAGATTTTACACTTAGACAAGAAGAACCAAATTTTCTTGGTACAAATTAGGTGAAACCTGGCTCAATAGCAGTAACTGTGAGAGAGATCTTGGAGTCCTAGTGGATAATCACTTAAATATAAGCTAGCAGTATACAGCAGCAACCAGAAAAGCCAACACAATCCTAGGTTGCATTAAAAGAGGGATAGAATCAAGATCAACTAAAATATTAGTATCTCTTTATAATGCCTTGGTAAGAACACACTTGGAATAGTTCATGCAGTTTTGATCATCATATTATAAAAAAGATGTAGAGATTTAGGAAAAAGTGGAGAGAAGAGTGACAAAGATGATTTGGGGGGGAGCTGGAGGCTAAAACATATGAAGAACGGTTGCAGGAATTGGGTTTCTCTAGTCTAGTGAAAAGAAGGATTAGGTGTGACATGGTAGGAATGTTCCAATATTTGAGGGCTGGCACAAAGAAGAGGGGGTCAACCTATTTTCCAAAGCATCAGAAGGCAAGACAAGAAAGAATCAATGGAAACTTATCAAGGAGGAAAGCCTAGAACTAAGGAGAAATGTCCTAATGGTGAGAACAATTAACCAGTAGAACGATGTGCCTTCAGAAATTGTGGAGGCTTTTAAAAAGAGACTGGACAGCCATTTCTCTAGAATAATGTAGGGTCTCCTGCTTGAGCAGGGGATTGGACTAGAAGATCTCTAAGGTCCCTTCCAACTCTGTTATTCTGTTATTCATTTTTATCAGGATCTTGGATGATAGGACGTGCAATGAAACTATCAAAAGAAGACAGCTCTTCCGGTATGCAGTTTGAATTTAAATACATATTTATAGTTTTATGTTGTGAAACCTTGTATTTTGTTTTCATTTAAACAGATCAAATTCATACTGAAAATAGAAAATGAAAAACAAAGCAAACATATGAATATATGAAATTTTAAGATGAAATACAAAACTATTTAATTTTTTAAACTATTTTAAACTTTTATAGAGTGGGCTACGAGTAGGTGTGGATATGTTTTATTATTGCCAAGATTCCAACTTCTTTTATTCCAAGTCCTTTTTAACTCTATTTGAATTTAATTAAAAATGCACAATAACACATTTGCATATTTTTATTTATAACTCTCTAAAGCAGTGTTTCTAAAGCAACCTGAGCATTTTCTAAATCTGTTGACTTTAATTCCTGGAATTTCCTAACCATTGTGAAGTATTTTGTAAATTGATGGTCACACATTTGAAAAATGCCTACACTGAAATCGTACCATCAGAAGTGTTCTATTTCTTATATATATAATTTTGCAAGCAATTTTTCAGAAGTAAAATACATCTTTACATATATTTTTCTCTAATATAATAATATTATACTCTTGAGCATACTTGTCATAGTCCGATCCTTTTTGCTTATTTTTTACAAATTGTCTCAGCCAAACTAGCAAGTATGTTAAATGTAGCTGTATTTTTCATGATTCTTAAAAAAAACCACAATGCAATTGTACTACTGAGATTGACACTAAGAAACTGAATGTAGCACAAATAAAACTATAGATTTGTCTGTCCCTCTGACAGACAAATGGCTTGCTAAATATCCTGATTTTATTGTTGCACTATCTAAACTAAGTAACTCATGTACATCCTCAAGCATTTACATACCAGCTTCAGTTGATTTTGTTGAGATTTTCCTTAGCCTAAAGTAAGGAAGAATGAAAGTTTGGTTTTGAATTGTCTTTGTGTTCTTTGATGCTATAGGGGTAACAGAGATAGTACAGGGAAGACATCTGGCAGTCGGCAAAGTAGCACAGATAATGAATTGAAATGGACTGATTACCAAAGGCCATGGAGCAGTACAGACTCAGACAGTTCCAGTCGCAATTTGAAGCCAGCTATAACAAAGACAGCAAGTTTTGGCGGAATAACTGTTCTGACAAGAGGAGATAGCTCATCAAGTAACAGGAGTACCGGCAAGCTGTCTAAAACAGGTAGCTAGTATTTATCAGGTTTGGCGTATATTTCTCTACTGAGCATAAGTATTTGGCGTGCAAATCTTTCTATAATGAATATTCAGTCCCGAAAAAAAAAGCTTCTGAAGATCTTCCATTTCAATTCACATTTCAAATCCAGAGAAGTGGAATATAAGAGGAGGAATGTATATTGGTTTTTCAGTCATGGATCATATGTCATGTATCTTCCTCCACATGAGGATTAATAGGATTAATAGTTAAGTAGAACACAAATGTTTAAAATGAAAGTTGGGAATCCAATGATTATGTGTCTTCTGCGTGCATTATGAAGATAGCAAATTTGATATTTTTCAACATTTTTCCTATAGATAGGGTGTTAATAAAGTCTGTCACATTCATCTATTTTTGCTGCTAAACTGAAAAAAAACAGCCCTTTGGATTATATATAATAATATTTCTCTTTATTTTTCCTAGCATTTTTTCCAATTTAAATTACATGAATAAAGTAAGCTTGATTTAAAGTATTAGAAACCACATAATTCAGAATAGCAACCATGTTATATGTTTATAGGCAAACTGTCTGAATCATTTTGTTCAGACAAATGTTCTTGGAGAAAGAAAAAAAACTTGCTGAGGTGAAATAAAATGTAATATTGCTCACTCTGCTTTACAGCTTACCTTGGTGAGCAAATTTTATGACTCTCTATAAAATCTCTGCTGAGGACTTATACTACTCAGGTTTTTCTGGATTAATTCTAGTGATTCACTTTAAACAACTGAAAGTTTTCCTGCTTCTGTTAGCAGAGCCCTGGTGGCGAAGTTATAATGCAGTATTGCAGGCAAACTGCTCACAGTTTGGAGTTTGATCCTGATGGGCTCAAGATTGACTTAGCTTTCCATCCTTCCGAGGTCGGTAAAGTAAGAACCCAGATTGTTGGGGACAGATTATTGCTGATATTTGTAAAACAGAGAGTGCTGTAAAGCACTGTGGAACAGTATAGAAGTCTTAGGTGCTATAGCTAATGGTAGAAAAAAGAATAAAGGAGGGCTTTAGCCACAGTGAACAGGAGACCATAAGCAAAAGAAAAGGAAAAGCTTAGGAAAGGGATTAGCAAAGAAATATCCACATCATGGTTATGATACCAAAACATACATACATACATACATACATATACTGAAACCTGTTAAATATTGATGGGCTTGGTATCAGTCAAATTATTTTGCAAATTTATACTACAAATAATTTTGTACAAATATCATATAAACATTCACCAGACTAAATTGACTGTGTATCTGTACTTCGTGCTCTCTCAGTAGCCCCTAATCACTATACAGTTTTGCGGATTCTCAACCTTCTAAAGATCACATCACTAAAGTTTTGCAACAGGTTACCAAAGCAGTGATAAAAATCTTCCTTACATTTCAAACAAGAAGAAAAATCTTGTTTAAAGGTTGTATAGAAACCTTTTAAATGCTTTAACAACGCATAATAATGTTTGTTTTTTTTAAAAGTAACATATCACTTGGTGACAATGAGGCCTTTATCAGTTCATGATGTTATGATGCCATGGGTCTGCCCATGCTGGTTCTTAAATGAAAAAGAAATTGAAAAGATCTCCACCATTATTCTGAAAGAATCTACATATTCATTTTTATTTTTTTGTCTGTATGAAGCAATCAACAAAAAACAGAACTCCAAAATGTTTGATCTGCAATTATTCATTGGATTAACTGAACAATTGTTCTATAATTTTTATTAAGAATATGTATTGTAATACTAAAATCTACTACAAATTAAAATTTTAAGATAAGAAAAGAGAAATAAAATGTAAAAAGTGCATGGGAAGAAAGAAGGAAAGAAAGAAAGAAAGAGAAAGGAAGGAAGGAAGGAAGGAAAAAGAAAGAAAGAAAGAAAGAAGAAAGAAAGAAAGAAAGAAAGAAAGAAAGAAAGAAAGAAAGAAAGAAAGAAAGAAAGAAAGAAAAACAGTAGGACTTTTAAAGGAAAAGAAATATATATAGCATTCCCACCCCTAGAAGACCTTGCTGAGCCCATGTAATTTTCCATCCAGACACTGACTCGTTTCCTGTTCTTTGCCACCGTTGCTGGATTCACTTTTGCAAAGACATCTTTGGTTCATCTTTCCTCCCCAGAAGCCCCAGATGAACAGTTCTAAACATAAATGCTTCCTCTGTCATTGTTCTTAACTGTTGGTCACATAATATGGTTCTGACAAAGAAAAAAAATAGCTTATCTCTGGCCAGTTACATACTATCTGTTGCTTATTCATTATGGACTATCACAGATACACCAAGCTGGTTTATTAGGACTGTAAATCAATACGAAGGCTAGAAGGAGATTACTCATTTAACAAATCACTAAAGCTACAGTTTTGTAATTTATAACATCAAAGCATTCAGTTAAAACTATGAAACATAATGCACAACTAAAATTACAATGCTGGCATTTTGAAAAAACATGCAGATTTTTCACTTCTTTGAGTATCCCCTCTATTAATACTGCTGATGTTGTAGTAAAGTGTTAGAGGTTTTATTTTTTTAAACTCTGAAACATAAAATAGATTCTGGAAAACAAGGGAGCTCCTTTTAAAATATTACAGACAAATGCTGCATTGGCACTCAATTTCTGAAGTATGTCTTCCAAACTAAACAAACTATTGCACAGTCCTAGATATTTGTGTAGTTGATTTTTTTTTAGTGGATGGCATTCAGAAGTCAAATATGACTTCTGAATGCCATCCTGATGAACTGAAAAGAAAATCTGAATGCCATCCTGATGAACTGAAAAGAAAATCTGATATGAGTATCAAATCAGCAAGTGAACCCAGCACAGAAGTAATGAACTAAGTTTTACTTTGCATGCAATGGAATTTGCAAGATATAATAGAAAAAGAGTGAAACATAATGAGATTTCAGTGCTAAATCTTTATGTTTGTTCATTTTAAGTACAGCCTTAAGTATAGCCTTTGAACTGAAAGGAATATGAATGTAAAAAAGCACACCAGCAATTGAATGTACATAGGTATATGAACATGTGGAGCTTGCAATCTGGGAAAGCAACAAACAGTTAAAATGTTTAGAGGCAACTATAATAAATATATTATTTAATTAAATAATCAATAATTTGGTTGAGTTACTATCTTGCTTTTAATTAGTTGTTATTAATTGTTATATTAATAGATAAAATATTTAGTCTATTTCCTTATTACTAAAAGTTATTAAGTGCTTGCAGATGTCCTTATTTAGCAAAACTATTGGGACTAGAACCTCCATCAGTAAGCACCACGGTCACTGAGCATAAAATCACATGACCATGATGGGCTTACAGCTTCACTTCCCCATTGGTCATTAAGTGAAACATTGTGTGACTGCAACTTGCAATTTTACTTCTATCATCTTTATTAACTCTGATTGTTGCAAGCAAAGCACATCCGTGGTGATCAGATGACCATACAATGCTAAGACAGTCATAAATGCAAAGATTGATCACAAAGCTATTTATACTATTTTAACTTTGAAAGGTCATTAAATAAGGTAATTAGGAAATTAATACTGATATTAAAAGAAATTTGAAATCTTATAAACTGAAAAATAAAAACTAATACTTGTTCTTAGAAAGAAAACTCTATCACATATTTCTTTTTTGCGTTATGTATTTAAAAAGCATTAACAAATTAGTCATAAAAAGAGTTTTGTTTTCATAATCATAAAACAAACTAGTAAATGTTTATTTCAATGTATTGTTCACTAAAAGTTTAGTTGATTAACCTCCAATATCAGATTGAAATAGATTTCAATCCAGGATATATTTCCACTCCCAAAGGAAATCATTAGACAAGTTAAATTGGAATGTATTCAAGCATGAACTGATTAAATAAAATGTAACACTATTCAGCCAAGAGACTGATTTAAAGTTGGCTGTGATTTATATCTATTTATTGAGTTGTTCACCTTCTGTAGGTGGACTGTGATCTACTCATAGTTCTACCTCTTCTTTGTTTTTTACTCTTTTTGGAAAAAGTATAGGCACTACTGACACAACTGCAACTTCTCCAGATTTTTTTTTAATAAATATTAAATCCTAAAATGCTTGCACCCATATAAGCCTATTCTTAGCATTCATAAAATTTGAGGATGAGGGAACAATGGATAACAGTTTGTGTATTGTATCTATCATATGGAAGTCGTAGGGGTGTTTTTTTCCAAAAGTGCCCTGAAAATGAATTCTTGTAACATTTATTGAACATTTTGTTTTATAGGTTCGGAATCTTCCAGCAGTGCTGGGTCCTCAGGATCTCTGTCCCGAACACATCAGCCTGTCCCTGGAGTTACAGCTACATCTTCAAACAGTATATCCTACACAGAGAATGGAATAGGTGGCCAGGGATTACCAAGCAACACCAGCTATATCATCCTTCCACTTGAAGCTGCAGGGATTCCACCAGGAAGTATTCTACTCAATCCACATACAGGTCAACCTGATTATCTTTCTCTTTTTTTTTTCTGTTGCTGTAATAAGCATTAGACCCTTTAAAACAATTCCTGCTGCTAACAATTAGTACAGTATTTAAGTGATGGACACATTGTTTAAATACTTACAGATATTTCTGTATGGCACACATCAAAGTTATCAATGCTGTGAACCTATAAAATAAATATATCTTTAATTATTACTTATTTTTTAAAAAAGAAACTAAAAAGAAATAGCAAGTAAAAATAGTTTAGCTAGGCTGATAATAGCAAGCATATATCAGTCAAAGGTCTAACAAAATGTAACTGAATATAATAGTGGTTGATCGGTCACTAATATAGAAAAATCGTCCTATTTGACCATCAACTATTTTTATAGAGGTTTTTTAAATGAATCTTGCTGAAATATATCCTATTTAGTATTTTGAAGACAATAAAGACTTCTTATGGAAAGAAATGGCTGTAGACTTCAATAGTAGGTGTCTATATATAAATGTCCAAAAATGCATTACAAAAACACTACTGAACCATTTGAACATCCAAATCTTTTAGAGAAAGGTGAATAACAGTTCATTGATTAGCAATAATTAAGTAGCCCTAATCTGCATGTAAGGGATGCTGGGAGCCATAGTTTCACTCTGGAAAGTGAAAGATGTCCCATCAGAGAAAACTAATATAATTTGGTTGTGTCAGTTACATAAAACATTGCAAAAACATTCATCAAGGCTATTTAAATAATTTGCGTGTTTTGATACTTACTTGTACTGGCAGTCTTCTGTTAACTTGCATCCACATTTTCATATGTGTATGCCACTGTCTTACCCTCTAACCACTACCACTATCCATTTATGTGTTAGAAGGAAGAAGAGTAGGCTGAATATAGGTAGCTTTTTTCATAATTCTGAAATGATAAAAATAATGAGATGAACTGACACAGTAACTTTTTCCCACAACTAGTAAATGTCAGAGGAACGAGATTGTAATAATAATAATAATAATAATAATAATAATAATAATAATAATAATAGTAATTCTTGGAAAGGAACAACTAAATATTAATTATTTTTCAAACTGAATGTTATAATTTAGCCTTCCGTTACTTTGTATTCTTTGGAGTACAACTCCCAGAATTCTGTTTGTCCAGATTTCATCTAATCTAATTAAAGAACATAGCTCTAATTACCATCACATTAGTAAATATTTGCCAAAGTAATATTTATTTTGGAAATTATACAATATGACCTTAAATAGCAAAATGGAAGCAAAAAAAAATGGAAAAACTGAAATTGTGATTGTTGTTGGCACTGCAGCAGAAAAACTGTTTCTGAGAAAACATATTGTGGATTGCATTAGTAATCATCTAACTGAACTGATGAATTCATCCATATGTAGCATCACAGGAGACATTTTTGTAACACAGCATATATAGACATGTAAGAGGTAGTGTAGCAAGAATATTGTTGGTACTATGATAGATACCTGCAAATATCTGAGTATAACTCAAAGTTCAGTAATCCCCTTATAGCTTAGGTATAGGATAGGTAAAGGAATTCTAACTGTCTCATTTGATCTGTCCAGGAGGGAATATTCTGCACCTGCTCCCCTAACATATTATAGAGTAGGAATAAGCACAATTAGTCCTCTATATAGCAGCTCCCTCTCTTTGGAGTAAGCTGCTCCCTGTAATTAATAGCACCTCTACATTCTCATCATTTTACAAGATCATAGAGACCGGGCTTTTTAATAGGGCATAGGAGTATAGAATGGTGATATAGATAATTTATATCCCATAAGGTGGTCACATTTTCCCAGTTGAAACTATAGTTAAATCTGTCTTGTTGGGTCTTTTGGTCTGCTTAGGATGTTTTGAAATGCTTTAGTTGGTTTGTGTGCTATGATTATTTGATGTGGTTCCAACAGACTACTACAACCACATGGATTCAGCATAGCACACAAGCCAACTAAAGCCCTTCAAAACATCCTGCGCAGACCAAAAAGACCTAACAACATCAGAAGAAAAAACAGAGGAGTTTTTTTCATACAATGAAAGGACTGCAACAACCATTATGTAGGACAAATAGGCAGAAGACTGGCAGAACACATCCATGAACACCAACTAGCAGTCAGAAAACATGATGAAAATTCTTTAATTTCACAACATATAAACAGATTTAATCATAGTTTCAATTGGGAAAATGTGACCATCCTAGACCAAGCAAAGTCCAAAAATGCCAGGGAATTTCTAAAAGCCTGGCATTCTGACTAATCAGCCATCAATAGACATATAGACATTAACAACATCTATAGACTATGCAAAAGAGACTATCACCCAGCTCAAAAAGGAACAAAAAGACCCAAGCAGCTAATCAGCAGTCTACCAGCAATCAGCACCCAGATCAGCATAGATTAACTCCAAGGTTAACATCAGACCAACAATCAAGGAAACAATACCCGAATCAAGAAACTTCCAAAGAAGCCAACAGCAAACAGCCCAATCAAAGAATCTCCAAGACCACCCCCAACAACACTGACGGGGTAAGCCACTATAATACAAACTGACAGTAAACAGCACTCTTTACTAGCCCTGATGATGTTACCCAATAATAGAACATCTGCAAGAAAACAAGCAAGCTCAGAGAGCACCAGGACCTTTCGTACTCTTCTGTCTGTGAATGCATGAGGGAACTAAGTATGCTGTTCAGTGAAGTCATTTAGGAATTATTATATTTTACGAAGTTGTATTTAAAAGTATATTAAACAGTCATTTTTTTCCAGGTCAGCCATTTGTAAATCCTGATGGGACACCTGCAATATATCACCCTCCAACTGGTCAGCAGGGTGTTAGAAGCCAGATAGTTGGGCAGTCTCAACAACCACCTTCATCCCAACAACTTGCCCAGCAACCACAGCAACAAATGACAAGTCTTATCACACAAGTATGAATGATAAATGGAACAAGCTCCTGACTTATATAATTCACTAGGGCCAGTATAAACACTGTTTGCCTCCAACAGAAAACCTGAACAGTGCCTGAGTTGGAAGATTTTTTTAGAATAATATTGAAATTACACATGATGGAAAATGTACATGACTGGTTGTTTGCCAATAAAGTAAAGTTACAACTTGTAAACTACACGTGAAAGAGCTGTCAACTGAAAAATTAAGTTGTACATCTAGTTATAGTAGATACTTAGTAGATCATAAAACATTAAAATCTACCTCGTTATTTCCTCCGAACAAAGATTATTATTATTTATTTTGGTTATAACATAGCCAACATTGTATTAATTGGATGTTAGCTTACAGTGATTTCAGCAACTCTGTTTAATTGTTTTAACTTGAATCCAGAGAAATCCCCCTTAGATCCCCTTAGATTATTGTTCTGAGTATGATACAGATTAAAAAAGCATCTTATTTTAATTGCAATAACTGAATCTCTCCTCATTTTCTGTTCCATTTCCTTAGCCTATTTCATCTCTCCAGACATCTTCTCAATCAGTACCGTATCCAGCCATTTCCTATCCTCCACAACATCTTCTAACACAGCAATTTTCTATGGTATTATAGATTTCTATGGGGTTTTTTCATAGTTGTGTTGCATTATCTGCCTAACCTTCTGTTTGGATTTCATTGTTATCCAGAGAATAGAATATAATTGCCATACATTTATTGCCTTACACATCAACCTTGAAAAGTTCCTCAGTTAAACCAATACAGTCTGCCCAAAATGTATTTTTGAAAGTGGCAAATAATTTCAAACAATATGTGTTTATATTTCATCCCTGCTTAATCACTAACAGGGTAAATTCTCTTATTTTTGCCAATTAATCTCAAGAATTCAATTTGCTTGACTTCTGTGTGTCAATATACATAAAGCATTAAAAAGGGCTGGTTTGTTGTAATCAAGCTAGAAAATATGAGATTGTGAGTCCTAGTTCTCTCTTAGGCACAAAGTGATCTGGATAACTTTGGACTAGTCATTTCTCTCACCTCTAGAAAAGAAGTAGGGGAGTTTCAATTTTCAAAAAATACTGCCCAGAAAACCGCAGTTGGCAGAAATAAAAAATCATTTGAAGGAAATAATTTTATGTCATTTCTCTTTGTCAAGTATAATTGTTTTTATTTTGGACCTCTGATACAATTCTTTGTGTCTCTTGAATACATGGTGATTGAAAACTTGTTTTCACTGGTTTCAGTAAGATTTCTTTAACAATGAGGCATCATAGTATAAACATTATTTTGAGGGCTCCATTTATAACAAAAAAAAAATCATGTTACCAAAGCTAATGTAGAATTCAATATTTAAGTTTCTTGAAGTTTAGATTTCTTAATTTAAAAATTGGTTTATTTTATATTTGTTCATTGAAATGTTTCTGTACGTATGTGTGTTTACATTTCTGCTTCTTGTGGGTTGTTTTTTTTTAAAAAAATGGTTTTGTTTTGTTTTGATTTGATTTGTTTTCCAAATATTCTCTGCAATGATCTCTTTTGATCATTCCTATCTGACTTTATCCTTACAGCGAGATGATATCACAACACAGTTTAACCAGATGAGTTTAAGTCGTCAGTCATCAGGAGACAGCTCTGATTCACCTTCTGGTCCTGTCTTTCCTTCACCTCTTATACAACAGACTTCCCCACAGACGGGTTATGTCATTGCAGCCCCAAGCCAGCAACTTCCCGCTGGAGGTTTTACAGGTTCAGGTCCACCAGTATCTCCTCAAGTACACCCAGCACCTCCACAGGGTTATGTACAACCACCACCATCTGCTCAGGTGAGCATCTGTTGTCTCGTTCTCTCTTTTGGCATCAATTTGATAACATTTTAGCAATATAAGCTTGAATAAAAGAGGAAAGCAACAATTTTAGAAATGCAACAGCACTAATGCATGAACATATCAACAATGAAATTTTCATGAGTTCAACTAATGGGACAGTGGAGATTTCTATGTGAAAAACTGCAATTATCAATAAACATTGTGCTATGACTGACTTCTGACCTTTTTTGGTTTGTATATTTGTCATTTTACTAAGAGATGCATTAGTTTGGTATCAGATGGCTCTTATAATTTCTCTTTTATTCCAGCAATTATTTTCATCACTTTGAATATACCAAACACTATTCTTTTATCATCACATATAGATTTGTGTGTATGCATCTACTGATAATTGATTAACCATCTTCTACCTTAATGTAGAATCCACATAGTCAACTGCTAAATATAGTGATGAGAGATCAAATGATGTACATGCATAATTCATCAATTAAAATTAGTTCATGAAATATATCGCTGTGCTTCAGGATACATCTGCAAATGTTTATTATTATTTCAGGGGAAAATAAATAATTCATCTGGGGTTCCTTTTTTCTAATGTGTGGAGACCAATTTGCCACATTGCCTCTGGTGTTAGTAACAGTCATGAATCATATTTAATTGACTTGAAATACATAGGGCATGGCAAATCTCTAATGTGTTCTATCTTCCTGAAAACTGATTAGACTCTATTGTCTGCCAGCAAATATCTGAGACTGCCTCTTGAACATTGCAACAGAATAAGAACTTTGATTGTAGACCACAAGCAAAAGCTTCTAGATAAATTTTATCAAAAACATATATGTGTCTGATAGATGGTCTATGTGAATGGATTTCGAAAATGGAACAACCAGAATATTTAAACTGAGTAAAAAGTTTGTGGTCAATATTGCCATACATATAAATGTATGATTGAATATGAGGTGATACGTGTATATTATCTATAGATTTTTGGTATTGAGATGATCAATAAATTAGATGAATAAAAACAAATTGGCTGAAAAGATCCATTGCGGAAGTTAGTGTTTCTTTCTCAATGCTTTATATATCCATAAAAAAATATTTGTTTCTGCTGTTGCTTAATCACAGCTGGTCATTACCACCAGATGAATGAAATATAGTTAAGTTTAATTGTGATTCGCTTAAAACAAGCCAAGATGAACGTATTTGTTGAGGAAACCAAGAAGCAAAAGCTTCTGATTCGTGTTGATTCTAATAATAATAACCAACATCTCCTTCCACTCCAAAAGAAGAGAGGTATTGAGAATGCAATTTTCATCCTCAGGATATGAGATATAGCTAAGAAGCAAATTCCAAATGGGATGTTGTATCAGAATCCAGTGATGTTGTATCAAAATCCAGAATCCAGTGAGAATCCAGTTGTATCAGAATCCAGTATATACAAATCAATTTCAAAGTTTATTCTTATTATGAATAAAGGCAAATATACACATCTATATATACTTACGTAGAATATATGTTTATTCTTATTAATATTAATATTCATTAATATTAATATACATTCATTCTTAATTATTGAAATTAACAGCCAAATAAATTTGATATAAAGATTAATAAGGAAAATCATTTCCAGAATAACCAAACAATTGACAAAATGAAAGTAACAATTTCCAACACTCCAGGAAAGAGAAGAAATGGAAATGAAATGAAAATAATCAGAGGATTCACTTAGTAATAAACACTTATCATGCCAAACAATTAAATAGAAAAGAAAGATTTTTTTTCTCAAATAAATATCCATCAATTAGGTGAAATGCTCTTGCATAAACTGAGATTAACTTAAAGCTGCATTAGCAAAAAAAAAATGAATATGTAGAAAGCAAATAGCTACTAACAGGCCTGAGAGGGAGAGAAACTGCTCCCTGTGTTTCAGAGAGAATTAGAATCTACTAACTCACACTCCTCTTGTTTGCATAGGCAGGTGATGAATATTTCCAACAGAAAGATTCTCCTTCCATGGAATCTCTTTATGCTAATGAGGATTATAGAAAATCAGGCTTCTTAATTGCAACACTTCCATGTATTTAGAGGTTCCCATAACAAGCACTCCATACATATGAAGGCAATATTTTAAGAAATGGGACAAGCATGCTGACTGAAGAGGATTAGAAGTTCTAAGCATTTTCACTAGGAAATAAGAGCCACTGGAGGGACTTGTATTGTTTCCTCGTATTTTTACCACGTCTTCTAAATTGTTGCATCCTTAGTACAACAATTGGTTGAGCATACATCCCTGGGAGTAAGACAATTGACTCCTGCAGAACTTATTTCAGAATCCTCCACTGTATCGGTGTGAATTTATGTGACTACAAATATAAAATGGAAGTTCGTGAAACAAAATGATTTTATGTTTAAATACCAAGGGGGAATCAATAATATTATAAATTGAGTTGCATATATTATAGAGAATTCATATTGTCAATAGTTATTAATTGAATTATTAATATTGAGTATTTGTTCTCTTTCCTGGAGTGTAACTTCTGTCCTTTGTTTGCTGGCATGTTTTCTGTGTGTAAAACTTTACACAAGGCAGGAAAAAACCAATCAGCACCTCCATCAGCATAGATTAACTCCAAGGTTAACATCAGACCAACAATCAAGGAAACAATACCCAGTCAAGAAACTCCCTCAAAAGCCAACAACAAACAGCCCAACCAAAGAACTTCCAAGACCACTCCCATCAACACCAAATATAAACTGATAGCAAACAGCACTCTTTACTATCACTGATGATGTTACCTAGTTTGGATAATGAAACGTCTGCAAGAAAACAAGCAGACTCAGAGAGCAGAGAGACCCCTCAGAAAAGAACAATAGATTCTAATAAGTGATAACAAAATAGAGAAATTGGGCAGTTCACAGAATTATTACATATGTTTAGAGCTATTTATTTAATCCGCTTATTGTTGGGGAAATATCTTAAATTTAGGATCAATTTGGATAAAAGCAGCATTATGCTGCTCTTTTTAATAGAATTTATTAATTTCCAAACATTTACAATGATTATGGGACATGTACCCTTAATGCACCAGATTGTCAAGAATGAGCATCAGTTGTTGGAAATTGGCCAGTTTATTGCCTGACACAATGATTCAGCATTTTCATTTTCACTTAGACCTGATGAAGTGGTAAAATGGACACTTTAGTAAAGGTCTAAATAATCTCACTCAGCAACTTGAAACAAGGAGAAAATTGTAGCTTGCAGAATGCCAAAGAGGTTGAGCTTAAATCTTCCAGATCCATCTTGTGGAAATGGTTCTGCAGGTATGAGGTGAACCATTACAAAGTTGTTCTAACTATGCCTAATGTATTCTTTTCAGAAAGATACAGAAGTTAGTTATATCCTTGGTGGAGGCCCAAGGGAGATCATGCTGCCCATTCCTAATCTCATTAGTGATCAGGGCAGCTTCTAACAATTTTTTATCCCATGGAGACAGTTTAATTATCTCTTCCTACTAAATATAATAAACCCTGAGAAACATGATCTTGAGCTAACAGATGATTGGCTGAACTTTACCAATCATCTTGCCATTCCCTCAGGTTTTATGCATATAAAGTGTAAATACAAAAAAATTTGATCAGGGTCCTAGATGCTTCTAAATAATATAATTCCAATATGTCAGAGTCCGAGCAAAATATAAGTGTAATCATGATTATTAAAATATAATAACAATGTGAAAATCTTTCCTTTGATTTCATTCATATATAGCAAATTGCAAAATGGGTAATATCTCATTTTGCAATTTGCAACAGTCACCCTGACTGTTAATTTGTTCATTTATGCTTTGGGGCCTTTTGACTAGAAATAAAATTGAAATGAATTTATGTGGTTTATATTCGGACTGCTCCTAGATTGTATATACAGTATATGTACAATATAATGTATACACAGAAGCATATTTAAGATAGTTTGAGCACATAATTTAATAAACTGCATCCATCATTGTGCCCAAAACTATAGCCTTCTGAAGAACTAGAACACAAAGCATCTGCAACAATTGAAGATAGAATCTCATGTTGACTATCCATATTAAATATATGTTCGGTTTCTGATAGATCCATCAAGAATGTCCATTTGGCAGGATTTACAAAACAATCTACAATAGTAGTTAAATATTGAATCTGTAAAACTTAATAGAATTGCTATTGCTAAGATTCAATTCCATTGTTGATCACTTTGCTTTAAACCATTTGATTATTTTAAATGTCATTTCTTGGGAAAATTATGAATGCTTGGTCACTACAAAAGTTAACCATTAATCATTTGAGATTATAGGATTTCTATTCACCAAGTACCTCATCCAGCAACAGAATCCTTAAAAATGATCAATGGGTAGACTAATAAACCATTAAATAAATATACAACAAATGCATTATTTTCCAGTCAATTTAAAAAAATAATTTCCCTGTGGATAATAGTATCTTAATTCTACAGAGATAAATTGATTTCAGTTTATATTGTTCTTTATGATATATAAATTGGTTTGTGTAGGCTACCAATTTATGATTTTTTAAGAATACACATTGTAATAATGAAATATAACCTGACAATTTTTTTCTTTTAGATAATTTGTTTATAGAGAATGATGAACATAGAAACATGTAAAATTCTTTTTTTGTCTCTGACTTTGAATCTACTTTTAAAATATAAAAAATATAGATAAGTTCAGTTCACATGAACTATGATATTATGTAATTAAGGCATTAATTATTATGATGGTCCCTGATAATATAAAACTGACTGTAATATATTGGGTTAGTCAATAATAGTTGTTATGATCCGTTGTTGTGTATGTTTGAAAAGAGTCTTCAACTGTCGCGGAGCAAACTGCCTGCAATTTAAGCAGGAAATTGTTCTTTAAAATGATTGGTTGCCACCTAGCGGCGGCACTGTATACATAGATATCAAGTGATTGTCGGAGCCACTTCTGTGTTTTCAG